CATGATTCCTGGTACTGTGTGATTTTCCTGTATGTTGTAAACCTGCCTCTATGATGTTAATGAGGGAGGATGGGTGGCAGTTGTGTTAGTAAGGCAGGACCTGTTCTACAAGACTGGATTGTGTCCTGAGGCAATCTCTTGAGATATAAAAGACAGAAGTGAGCAGTGAGACAGGGGGACCTCATACCATGAAGAAAGCAGTGTCGGGAACAGAGCGCGTCCTTTGGACCGGGGTCCCTGCACCGAGAAGCTCCTAGTCTGAGGGAACACTGATGAGAAGGCCGAGAGAGAGAAAGCCTTCCCTTGGAGCTGACACCCTGAATTTGGACTTTTAGCCTACTTTACTGTAAGGAAATAAATTTCTCTTTGTTAAAGCCATCCACTTGTGGTATTTCTGTTATAGCAGCACTAGATGACTAAGACAATGGGGATGAGCTTGCTTTGGTGGAAGGAGCATGGATTTGGGAGTCAAGAAGCCTCTTGAAAACCTAGAAAGCTAGAAATTGGTCCCCTTTTTACAAATGGGAAAATGAGATTCAGAGAGGTTGTGTCATTTGCCCAAGATCAAACAGTTGAGCAAGCCCAGCTCTGCCTGATTCCAGAACCTGCACTATGCCAGACAGAATGGCACAGCATCAAGTTTAGGCTGTGTAGGTAAAAAATCAGAACTGCTTCAGCTATAGATTCAGAGATGGAGTTTGTCAAGGAGGAGTCCGTGGTGGAAGTGGGATCTTGAAGGAGAGGCAAGGAAACCATCATTTACTGAATGTCCACCATGTGCAAGACACTTGCTGGGTGCTGGACTGTTCTAGACCAGAGGGGTGATGATATGGTGACCACGTTACAGACAGGGAAACTAAGGCTCAAGAAATGAAGTGACTTGCCCCGAATCATGGAGTTAGTCAATGGCAAAGGGGGGCTCCACGTATCTTTGTCCCCGGTCAATGTTTTCTTACTACAACTACTATGAGGTTATTCATTATTTTCTCTACTGATGAAGAAATAGAGGCTCAGACAAGCTAAGTAATACATCCAAGCTGGCACAGCTGATGAAGTGCTGGAGTCTGGGAATGAACCCAGATCTCCTTGCCTCCAAGGCCTGTGTTCCTTTTTCTCTAACACCACAGACTCTGCAGAGGTCAGAATGCTGCATATAAAACCTGCTCTCTCCTTTTACTCAGGCTGTGATGATGAACATAGTGCTTGACTTCATTGAGCCTCATTTGTAAATGACACATTTGTAAAATGAGGACAACCATTACACCTATAGATATGACTAAATAGGAGACCCTGAGTGGTACAAATTGTTAAGTACTTGACTACTAACAAAAAGGTTACTAGTTCAAACCCTCACAAAGGCACCTCGGAAGAAAGACCTGGTGATCTGCTTCCAAAAGGAGCACAGTTTTATTCTGCACACATGGGGTTGCCATGAGTCAGAATCAACTCGATGGCAAATAGTTAAAACTGGTTGTATGATTAAAAGGAATTATACCTATACTGCAACATTGCACCTAGTGAGTGTTCAATAAATGAAAGCTATCTCATCTGATTATTATTTTCATTTTAGAGATAAAGTATGTGAGAGTTATTTTCTTCACACTCTCAAACTAGCAAAAGGCTGAAGTCTGGATTCAAAAGAAGACATAAGAAATACGAAAATTCAGTCATGCTTCTTTCATTTTAACCAAGATAAGAAAGAGGGAGACGGGAATTTCAGGCATGTGGAATGCATTAGCAAAAACACGAGATAGGATAGGGCATATGTGAGGAGGACTGGTGTTAGGGAGAGCAGTGACATCAAATTTAGCCACCAAGTTGGAGGATGGGGTTGTGAGTGTCAAGATGGACTCTCTGGGCTTTAGTTCAACATTATGCATGGGGCGCCTACCACATGCTAGGCTCTGGCCTGGGCATTGTTTACAGCTGCCTGGGCTGGCAGTGGAGATAACACGCTCATGGACTTTGCCCTCTTCTCCCTGACCCAGCCTTCAGACACTGAGGTGGTGGGTTATGCATTGTCCTGGAAAGTGACTGTGAGATTAAGCGACCTGCTCAGGTGGGCCTGAAACTCATCACCCTCCCAGTAACCCTATGTGTTGGGTTACTATTACTATATTATTATGCTCATTGCTTGGAAAAGGAAACTAAGCCTCAACCGGAGTTGACACGACTTGCCCAAGATTACACAGCTGCAGCAGGACCAGGATTTCAACCCAGGTCAATCTGACTCCAAGGCCAGTGCTCTTTCCTCCTGCAGCTGGGTTAAGCTATTGTCTTCTGGAAGGCGTGGATGGGTGCGATAGATTAACCATGACTTGAGGGTGTCGGACACTGGTGGGAGACAACAGGTCAGGACAGGTTGAGGGCCTGGGCAAGGACTGATTGGAGGGATCGACCTAAAATGGAACTGGGGAGAGGGGGTGGGAGAGACATGTGTCTGCCCTACCTTTGCCCCGGGCCAGCCTGTATGTCTAGTCCCTTTGCTCAGAGAAAGAACCATGGGCTGACCTGGACCAAAGACATCTGGCTGAAGTCCTCATTCTGTCATCAACTAGCTCTGTGACCTGGGGCGTATCGTATCACCTCTTGAGCCTCACTTTCCCTATCTGTAAAGTGGTCACCATATCATTCCACTCTCACGGTTGTCTTGAGGAGTCAATAGGAGTGGTGTGGGGGCAAGTCCCTCACACAGAGCCCAGCACACAGCAGACAGTTGGCATACAGCATATCCCAGCGTGCTCTGGGCGTCATGCCCTATCATCATCAACCCCCTCCCTGGGAACTAGCTCCAGCTTTGTCAGAGTCAGCTAGCTATCAACCCCACCCCAGCTGTCTAGTTAATGAGTGACCAGGGTGCTACAGCCTGGCCTAAAAGGAGCAGCTGGCCAGAGAGCAGGTGCGAGCCGGGTAAACGGCGGTGGTGGGAACACAGAGGAGCAGGATGGGCGGCAGGACAGCGTCAGACCTCCTGATGGGGGTGGCTGTGGTCCTTCTGGTGCTGCTGCAGGGCACACAGTCAGTCTACATCCAGGTGAGTCACTCAGGCCAGCCTGCTCTGTGCCTGGGAATGTCCCCAAGGTAGGGGAACTTGGCTCAAGAGCGAACGCTTGGAAATTCGTGGGGAGCGGGGGTAGCACACGGCTCAGTGCTCAGCCCAACACCCAATCACACCCCAAGAACAAAGACAGCTGGTAGGTGGTGGCAGCCAGAAGGCTAATGGCAATGATGACGGTGATGACAATAATAAACTGCTGTTTACTGAGCAGTGCTCCCACCATGGTCAGAGTGAGCAACAAGATGAGGTCCCTGCCCTTGATGAGCCAAGTAGGGAGGAGACCCCCTTTTATGCTCCAGCAGCTCAGCCGGGTGGAGAGGGGTGGTCACAACAAAACGTTTCCATGGGGAGCAACCCTTGAGCTGCCTCTCTCCTTGTGGGATGAGCGGGAGGGAGCCAGGCACAAAGGATGGGAAAACAGTCCCAGGAGTCTGGAAGCAAGGCCTCTCTGTGTGGGTAGGAGAGCTCAGCAGGGAAGCTTGTGGCCCTGGGTGAGGCTCCCACCCAGGACTGGGAGTCCCATCCCTGACTCTGACAGGCCTCCAGGGAAGAAGAGAAAGTGGTCCTGGGAGGTGCGCGAGACAGTCAGCCTCCCCCGATCCCTGGGCTTGGGGCTCAGCCGCCTTAGGAGCATCATCACTTTGCCATGTCAGCTCAAGGGAGCACACTGGGTGCCTGGGACTGTGTGGGAACTTGCTTGACCCTCACGATACCCAGGGAGAATGAAGTATAATGATCTCCACTTGTCAGATGAGGGATCTGAGGCTCAGAGTGGACAAGACACAGGCAGCCATTTGGGATAGAGATGGGATTTGAATTGGGGGTGCCTGTCTCTAAAGCCCATGCATAAAACCACTGAGCCCCGCAGCGCTGATCTGACTTCATCTAGCTATTACCAAGGCCTGTGGCAGTGATGTGTGTCTGGGAGGATAAATCAGACGCCACCACCCCCACACCCCAGGCTGGACTTTCAACGTGGCCTGGCCTTTCCAGAACAGGGAAGGGTACAGAGGATCCCGGGGCCCCAGGAATCCTGGGTCCCGTGGTAGAGCCTGCTTCAGGCCCAGGTTTGGATATCCTTTCATCTCTTCCCATCCCGGCCCACCCCCCACCAGTACCAAGGCTTCCAGGTCCAGCTGGAATCAGTGAAGAAGCTGAGTGACCTGGAGAAGCAGCAGATGCTCAGCCCCCAGCTGGGGGCCCAGAGCCTCCTGCCCTCTGTGTGCCAACACACGGACCTGCCCCTGGACCTCCAGCCCATCTGCACCTCCAAGGAAGCTGCCAGCATTTTTAGGGACTTGAGTAAGTGTCCCCTATCCCTGCTGGCTTTCCCACCTGGAACTGAGGGGGAGGGGCAGAGCCCTCAGCACCTCTTCCCAATCCTTGACAATTTTCTGTCTCTTCCCCCAACCCAATCCCTCCACCTCATGTCCTTACTATTGAGCACCTAGTGGCTGAGGGCAGGGAGAGTCAAGAAACTCAGCCCCTGCCCTCTCCAGGACTTTCCTGCTCTTAGCACTGAGTGCCAGGTAGACTGAGAACCCTACTTCAAGGGCCTCACCAATGAGAGGAAGGGGGTGCAGTGGCAGAGCCACAGACAGTGACTGCAATGCAGTGGGGTGAGAGGGGAAGCCCTGTGGAAACACAGAGGACAAGTGGCATGTCAGTGGGTGGGACGGAGACTCTGGAAAAGCTTCCAAGAGGAAACGTCATCTAAGCTGAAATATGAGGGATGGGGCGGCTTTGGCCAGGAGCAGAGAGCTATTGGCTAGCAATTACCAAGCATTTATTGTGTGTGTTCTCTCCTCACAACAAACCTGTCGGGTTGATACTCTTCTCACTCCATTTGACAGGAGTAACTCAGACACTGAGAATTTAAGTGATTTTGACCAGTCACTGCTAGTTAAGAGAGAATTTGGAACTTGAACTCTCTAACTCTACTTCTAATTTCCAGGTTCTCAGCCTGTAAGCAAGCCATCTGGGTGGCTCCCCCAACCCTCTCCTAAGCAGCCCCTCTCTGGCTGCCTGGGTTCAGGTTCAGGTTCCCTGACTGTTCTTCTCTCCCTCCCCAGGGATTATCGCTGGTGACGACTGTGAGCTGTGTGTGAACGTGGCCTGTACCGGCTGCCTCTGACAAGACTCTGTGTGCCCTGACCCCACACTTGGCACTTAGCCCCCAAGTCCACTGCTTCCCACCCCACCGAAACACATGTGAGGGCCACTGGCCACCGTGGTCATCTCCAACCTCCTGCAAACAAATACAAAGCCATTGGATTCATGAGCTGAGGAGGGCTTTGCCCCTGAGGCAGCCCTGCTGCTGAATAAAGATTCTACACGCACAAAGACACATGCCCATTTGTTCATCCCAGGAGCCAGGGCAGAGCTTCTTGGGAAGCTAAGTAGGTTGGGGAGAAAGGTAGACTAATGATACCTGTCAGCAATTTCCCTGAAGTCTCCTCGGCCTGGGGAGTTGATTCATTTAACATCATTTCACGTATGAAGGAGAACAGGCTCCAGGTAGGGCGATGAATCACCCAAGCTCTGACAGCTAAGAAGTCCAAGAGCTTCCCAGACCCAGCTGACCTCCAATCTGACCTCAAGTCCTACTCCAGCTGCAGAGCAAGAGCTTCTGTCTCCCCACCCAAGGCAGGAAGTCTTCCTGGAGGAGGCAAGGATGGAGGAGTGGCTGGAAGGAGAATCATGAGGTGCCCACCCTCCCCAGCCAGATCATTAGGGCTGACTCTGCCCCAGGGCCTGTCTTAGAAGATGGTTCCTTTGCCTTCCTGCATAGCTCCCAAGCACCTGTCTTCTCCTCAGCACCCAGGAGACCATGCATTGCCCCACCTACCCTGGCTAGCTCCTGATGGGAGATCTTTGTTCCTTCTCTCAGTCAATCCTCTGGGTGCCCTGAAGAATAATAATAATAATAACAGCCAATGCCTATTGAGCATTTGCTCTGTCCTTGGCACCATTCTAAGCACTTTGCACATATTAATATATTAAGTTCTCACACTAGCCAACATTTCACCACCTCTCTGAAGGTCAGGGTGGCAGCATAGGCATAAACAAAGCTGGACAGATGGGTGATCTGATGGGCTAACGAATGAAGGCAATACCAGGAGCATTCTGGAAGCTGGTTTATTAGCTGAGGCTTGGGTTGGATCCTGGAAGCACCCAGCAGCTCAGACGGTGGAAAGGGCTGGGCCTCCACTCACCAGGACCTGCCCGGGCTGTGTCTCCTCACATCCTCCATTCTGGGGCAGGGATGTTGAGCTGCTGGGAGTGAAAGTATCTTTGGTGGCACTTGGGCAGAAGAAAGGCCTCTCCTGTGGAGGAAGGGAAGAAGGCAGCAAGGCCAATGGTGGCCCTAGCATCTGGCATATGCAGTGTAGTCACAGATCTCATAAGTGTATGGGTCCTCAGCAATGTCCTCTGGACAAGAGAGATGGGGCCTCATGAAAGTCACCATCCCTCTCTGAAAGCGCCTGCCTCCCCTGAGCCAGGGCTTAGTTGTCCTCCTACCCAGCCCCAGGAGAGACCCAGTGGACCTATCTCTCTGATCGGCTTCGCTGCCCACCCAAGCAAGGGCAAATTGCATTGTCAAGTCAGCGAATCACAGCAGAGATTCTAAACAGAAAGGAAATACCATAAGACCAGAGGAATGGGGACTCAGTACCACCACACCATCAGTGGAGTGAAGATCTTCCTAAGACTCACCAACTACAACTTAGATCTAAGTAAAGCTGAGGGCTTACCAGACCAACCAATCAGAGCACAGCTCCTCCACTAAATCCCACCAATCAGAGCATATCTCTTCCTGAAGTGCCGCCAATCAGACAAGAATTCCCAAGCCCCACAAATCAGAGAGTTGGCTGCTCACCCAGCCTCTCCAAGGTCTCCTGGAAAGTTGGCTCCGTGCAGTGAAGCCTGAATTCTTCAGGAAGGAACGGTCGCTATGGTAGGTGAAAACCATCAGTTCAACCGTAGGTTCAGCTGTTTTGCTGTTCCCATCCCTGGGCTTCAGTTCAATCACAGGTTCAGCTATTTTGCTAGTCCCATTCTTGGGCCTCTGGAACCCAAGAAGGTTCCTGAGATTCTTCACCAACTCCAGAGGAAAGGAGAAGTCTTCATCCTGAAAGGGACATATCCAGAGGGTGATGCCAGGCTCATCCTGCTCCCTGGCAGTTTCCCTCCAGATGGGTCCCTCTCAGCCCCAGTGGCTCTCAAGCAGTGTTTCTGGAAACAAGACACTCCACTGAGAGGCAACACACAGTGGTCAGAGCTCAGGTCTCACAGCAAGACCCTGGGCCTGAACCTGGTTTTGTTCTGTGACCTTGGAAAGGCCATAACACTCACAGAGCCCTAGGTCTGAATGTTCTATGAGGCATGAAGAAAATGCACGTGAAGTGTCTGAGACAAAAGAGGTGCGCAGCACAGGGGAGCCATTGTGCTGATGATTAGGGAGAGATGCAGGGCTGGTTCGGGGAGTTCTGGTTCTTCACGGCCATGCCCGGGCTATGTTCATTTCTCCTTGCCTGAAACTAGTGCCAGCAGATCTCCCGGGGTCCTCAGCCAGCCTGTGGCCTGGTAGTTGTTGAGAAGTAATAAAAGACTCCAGGGGTCTGGTTCTGATAGAGAACCTGGCCCCTGTGGGTGCCAGACTGACCTGTCCCTGGCATTGGCCCGGTGGACACAACCATCCATCAGAACCTCCAGGTGTCCACTAGGCTTCCAGGTGGGTGCTCTGGTTGCACACAGGACAGAGGAGTAAGATCTAGATTGGAATCCAGCTCCTGCACTTCCTAGCCATGTGGCCATGGGCAGTTACAGAACTTGTCTGAGGCTGAGTTTATCTCTTCTGTACAATGGGACCAATAATCCCTCCCAGGGGTTGGGGGACCACAGTGAGATCCTAGGTGAGGATCTGGCACAGAACAGGCACTCAGAAAACAGGCCAATCTACTGCTTCTCACGAATGGTTATATCTCTTCTCTTTACCTGGTATCCTTTCTCTGCCAAGTTTGAAGGGGCAGAGCCAGTCCCCAGACATACCACTCCATCCTGGCCCCAAAGTTAGGGCCTTCTCTCAGGGAATGAACGCTGTGCTCCAGAGACAGAGAGATGCTGGGCTAGTGTGGTGAAAAAAGATATACCTACATGGTGACTCCACCTGCTGGGGGAGCCCAGGTCCCTAGCAGACACAGCTTGGAGAGCAAGAAGGTGTTCGTGGCAACCTTGCCCAAGAGTCAGGAGTGGCAGGTTCTGGATGCCAGGGGGAAACAATGAGAATTTAAAGAGGGCCGGGTTACTGAGTAGCCCAGGAACATTGGTCACCATCTCATCTGCTTCCTGTCAACTGATGCTGCATCATATAGGCTCCAGAAGGCCCTGGGAGATAAGAGACTGGTCCCTGGAGGCTGGCAGAGCCCTAGCCTCTCTCTGGGCACCCATTTTGACCCACAGCTGGGCTGGGTCTTGCATTTGTTCACGACCACACACAGACTCTGATAAGGAGGGAAATACAAAGGGGCTGGCCCTTAGGAGGGGCAGGAAATACTTATTCCACTGGCCCTCCCGGGCCTTTCCTCGGAGCTAGGCTATATCTTCTTATTGGTGTGTGTGTGTGTGTGTACGTGTGCACATGTGTGCACACACATGCACACAAACACTCTGAGGTGTACAACTGTAGTCCAGCCAGCCACAGGTCAGCTTCTGCTAGCTGAGTGCAGGGTGAGAGCGAGCACTGAGGGAAGATCATGGGTGGGAATGTGTCAGGAGGCATTAGGGATGAGATAAGGATATGTTAATAAAAGCAGGGTTATGGATGGAGTTTGGGTTGAACTTGAAGCAGAGGTAGAATTAAGGGTAGAATTTATTACCATTGAGACGGAGATGAGTTTCAGGTAAAGGTCAGATTGCAGCTGAGGTTGGTGCTGGGATTGGATTTGGAGTCTGGGGGTTGACCTGAGATTGGGGTAAAATTTGGGCTGAAATCAGCATTAAAGTACGGGTTGGGGCTGAGGTTAAATTGGGTTAGATGGAAGTAGCCATAAGAGATAGGAGGTCATATTAACATTCAAGTAGAGGTTTGGGTTGGGGTTGAGGTTGAATAGAGCTGAGGTTGAGGGTGGGGTAAATGTAGTGTTAGGTTTGGGATTGGAGGTAGGGCTAAGACTGGGTTGACATGGGGATTTTAACTGATGAGAGCCAATCACACCCAGGTGGGAGGGGGCAGCTGGAATTCTGACAGCAGTGATGATGGTGATGACAATAATATACTTCTGTTTAGTGAGCTTTGCTTTCCACCAAGGTCAGTCTTCTCAGAGAGGTCAGTGTGAGAAACCAGACGATGTCCCTGCCCTTGATGAGCCACGTGGGCAGAAGATCCCTTTTGGTGCTCCCACAATGTGGTCCTGGACAAGGCTCCTACTGAGGACTGGGAGTCACATCCCTGACCCTGGCAGGACCTCCTAGGGAAGGAGAGAAGGGGGTCCTGGGGGGATGCAGGGGAGTCAGCCTCCTCTTGATTCCTGGGCTTGGGGCTCGGCCACCTTGGTGGTACTATCATGTTGCCATGTCAGTTCACGGGGAGCACATTCGGTGCCTGGGACTGTGTGGGAACTTGCTTGACCCTCACGACACCCAGGGAGAATGAAGTATGATGATCTCCATTTGTCAGATGAGGGATCCGAGGCTCAGAGTGAACAAGACACAGGCAGCCATTTGGGACAGAGCTGGGATTTGAACCGAGGTGCCTGTCTCTAAGGCCCATGCATAAAACCACTGAGACCCACAGCCCTGATCCGACTTCATCTAGCTATTACCAAGGCTTGTGGCACAGTGGAGTGTGATACATGTCTGGGAGGAGGATATCAGATGCCAACCCCACACCCAAGCTAGTCTTTCAATGTGGCCTGGCCTTTCCAGGAGTACAGGGAAGGGTGCAGAGGGATCTCGGGGCCCCAGGAATCCTAGGCTCCCGGGTCCAGCTGGAATTGGTGAAGAAGCTGAGTGACCTGGAGGGGCAGCCAGTGCCCAGGCCCCACCTGTGTGTTCAGATGGGGTCTCGAACAGCTTCCAAGAGGAGATAACATCTAAGCTTCAATCAGAGGGATGTGACATTGTTAGCCAAGAGAGGGTAATGATTAGCATTTAGTGAGCACCTCTTTTGTGCATTCTCCTCATAGTACACCTGTCAGGCTGATACTCTTTTCTCTCCATTTAACAGACAGGAATAACTCAGGCTCTGAGAGTTTAAGTGACTTGCCCAGTTACCACAAGTTAGGAGATGATTTGGAACTTCAACCCAATCTGTATGTCCACTTCTAAAGTTCCATGTTCTTAGCCTGTGAGGAGGGTGCCCAGGCCCCTCACCCAGCCCTCTCCTAAGCAGTCCCTCTCTGGCTGCCTGGTTTCAGGTTCAGGCTCACTGAACGTTTTTCTCCCCCTGCCCCAGGGACCATTGCTAGTGATGACTGTGAATATTCCTATACCGACTGCCTCTGACAAGACCCTGGGTGCCCTGGCTCCACACTGGGCACCTGGCCCCCAAGCCCACTGCCTCCCACCCCATTGAAGCTCAAGCAAGTCCCCTGGCCCCCCCATGTCATCACCACCATCCCAGACCCAAGCAGCTGGATTGGGTGCAAAGCCATTTCACACATGGAGGCAGGAGCATTTGGCCTCTGGGGCAGCCCTGCTTCTGATAAAGATTCTCCACATACAGAATCACGGTTGTTCTGTTCATCCTCAGGAGCCAGGGGCCGATCTTCCTGGGAAGCTGGGTGGGTTGAGGGGAAAGGTTGGACTAATGGTTGTTGTCTTGCTGGTTGTTAGTTGCCCTCAAATTGACCCTGAGTTATGGCAGCCCTATGTAGAAAGGGTGAAATGCTGCCTGGTTCTGTGGCATGTTCAAGATCATTGGTATGCTCGAGTCCATTGTTGCAGCCACTGTGTATTTTCAGTGTCTTTCAACCTATAGGATTCAGCTTCCAGCGCCATATTGGACAATATTCTGTTGTGATCCATAACATTTTCATTGGCTAAGTTTTGGAAGTAGATCACCAGGCTTTTTGTCCTGGTCTGTTTTAGTCTGGAAGGTCCACTGAAACCAGTTCACCATGGGTGACCCTGCTGGTATTTGAAATACCAGTGGCATAGCTTCCAGCATCACAGCAACACACACGCCACTACAGTATGTCAAACTGGGGCAGTGGGAGGGATGGGAAGCATGTGGAAGCTAATGATACCTGTCAGCAGTTTCCCTGAAGTCTCCATAGCCTGGGGAGTTGATTCATTTAACATCATTTCACATATGAAGGAGAACAGGCTCCAGGTAGGGCAATGAATCACCCAAGCTCACACAGCTAAGAAGCCCAAGAGCTTCCCAGACCCCGTTGACCTCCAGTCTGACCTCAAGTCCTACCCCAGCTGCAGAGCAAGAGCTTCTGTCTCCTGACCCAAGGCAGGAAGCCTTCTTGGAGGAGGCAAGGATGGAGGAGTGGCTGGAGAGAGAATCATAGGGTTCCCACCCTCCCCAGCCAGATCATTAGGGCTGACTCTGCCCTGGGCCTGTCTGAGAGGGTGGTTCCTTTGCCTTCCTGCACAGCTCCCTGAGTCCCTACCTTCTCCTCAGCACCCAGGGGATCATGCATTGCCCCACTCTCCCTGAAGAGAGACCTTTGCTCCCTCTCTTAGCCTATGCTTCCAGGTGCCCTGAGGAATCTTTCTCCCGTGACTATGCCCGTGCCCTTCCATGGCTCCCCAGTGCCACCTCTCAAGTCTACCCTGAGCCCGTGGACTATCTGGCCTTGCCCTCCTCTGCTCTCTTCCCCTATGCTGGGCCCCCACCCGCCAGGGGAGGAGACCCTGACTGAGCACCTACTCTGCCTGGCTCAGAACTGGGCCACGTACATAGAAATTACAATAATAGCAGCATCCAGAAGGAATTACTGTGGGCCTGGCGGAGCCCAAAGAGCTTTACCTGTCTTACTCATTTACTCCTCACTTAGCCCCATGAAGTAGGGCTCATTGCCATCTCATTTTACAGACAAGGAACCTGAGGAGAGATGGGTTATGTAACCTGCTCAGAGTAACAGAGCTCGCAACAAGTGGAGCCAGGATTTGCACCCAAAGAGTTGGCTCCAGAGTCCAAACATTAAATGATTCTACCACTTCCCACATCTTATCCAGTCCCCCAGCAGCCCTGTGAGAGAGAATCTGCTATCTCCTCCATTCTCATAGGAAGAGACCCAGTCTCAGAGAGGGCCACACAGCTCATAAATGGCACAGCAGGCTCAAACCCAGTCCTGTCTGGCTCCTGGACCTACACACTGTCCAGGCTGAACCATTCCAGTACCTCCCTACCTTCCTGCCTCTATGTGTAGTCCACCATTTCCACCTTCTGGATGCCCTCTCCCTTCCCCTACCCCTTATATGTGTTGAAGTTCCATCCATTCTTCAAGGCCCCCTCTGCCTGAACTGTCCTGTGATACTCCACCTCTACTCTCCCCAGTCCCCAAGCAGGACCTGGCCCCACCTCTTCCCTGGTTCCCAGTACTTTTGACAACTGCCCTCTCTGCCGTGCCTCACCCCCTCACCCCTGTCTCAACCATTCTCAGCCTGACCCTGGTCCCCCTTTCTCTGGTTGGTTAGTTTTTACCACTTATTGAGTTTCCTTATGCTTGTGACAGGCCTGAACTGAGGGTTTTATATATTTCACCTAGGCTGGGAGGTACATACTATTATCCTTGTTTTACTAAGGCTACTGAGACAGAGAGGGCAAGTGACTTTCCTAACATCACACAGTCCTGGAAGAACTGGAGTTGGAACCCAGGTCTGGGACTGCACAGCCCTTGTGTTATATCCTCATCCACGTGGGTGGACTTGACCTTGTCCGGAAGTCAGAGCGACCTCCCTGGGCAGAGAAGCCTTTATACTCCGGGGCGGCCAGAACTGTGCAGAAGGGATGCAAGTGCCAGAAGTGCCCTGGGAGCACCAAGGACAGAGTGGGAACATAGAGGACTCACCCAGGGGGCCAGGAAAGACTTCTGGAGGAGAGGGCACAGGAGCTAAGCCTGCAAGCCTGAGCAGGGACTTACCTGGTTAGAGATGTGGGAAGAGGAGGGGTGCAGAGGTGAGCAGAAGCAGAGAACTGGTGAGCAGCATGGCTAGGGATGCTGGGGGGCAGCAGGAGGCCATGATGGAGTGGTAGTGGGAGCCAGAATCTGAGGGACCTTGAATACCATGCCCGAGAACTTGGGGCTCATCACATAGCGGGTTGAGTGTCTGTGCTGAACACACAAACCAGCACAGACTACTGTGCTCATACGTCCTCTAGTGACTGGTGACCTGTGGTGATGGGACAGAAGAGCAGAAGTTCTACCCCTCACCCCCACGGGAGGTCTGAAGATTCAGGTCCCCTCAGTGCCAGTGTGAGGGGTCAGCCTGGGGTGGGAGGGTGGCTAAGCAGAGAGAGTAGGGTCCCTCCACTCAGCGCGCTAAATCCTGAGCCCCTTAGGACAGGGTAGCAGCATAGGCAGCAACAAAGCTGGACTGATGGGTGATCTGACAGGCTATCAAAGGAATGAAGGCAACACCAGGAGCATTCTGGAAGCTGGTTTATTAGCCGAGGCTTGGGTTGGGTCCTGGAGGCACCCAGCAGCTCAGATGGTGGAAAGGGCTGGGCCTCAACTTACCAGGCCCTGCCCAGGCTGTGTCTCCTCACACCCTCCGTTCTGGGGCAGGGAGGTTGAGCTGCTGGGAGTGGGAGTCTCATGGGTGACCCTTGGGCAGGGGAAGGGGCTCTCCTGTGGGGGAAGGGAAGAAGGTAGCGAGGCCCATGGCGGCCCTAGCATCCGGCACAGGCAGCGTAGGCACAGATCTCACACATGCTTGGTTCCTGAGCAATAGCCTCTGGACAAGAGAAATGGGGGTCTCATGAGAGTCTGCTCCCTTTTCCCGAATGCCCCTCCCTCCCTTCAGCCAGGACTTTGCCATCCTCCTACGCAGCCCCAGGAGAGACCCAGCAGTCCTCTGACCAGCTGCACTGTCCACCCAAACCTGGGTGTAAGGCCTGCTCAAGCTAGCCAGTCAGAGTAGAGATTCTAAACAGAAAGGAAATACCATAAGACCAGAGGAATGGGGACTCCATGCCACTACACCCCATCAATCAGAGTGAAGATCTTTATAAGACTCACCAACTACAACTTAGATTTAATTAAAGCAGAGTGCTTCACAGACCCACCAATCAGAGCAGAGCTCACCTGTCTCATCAATCAGAGCAGAACCCCTCTTTCAAATACCAATCAGAGCATATCTCTTTCTCAAGAGCCACCAATCAGACAAGAACTCTCAAGTCCCACCAATCAGAGAAGAGACTACTCACCCAGCCTCTGTAGGATCTCCTGTGCATTGGGCTCTTTGCAGACAGGCTCGAGTTCTTTGGGAAACTCTGGGTAGCTGCAGAGGACGGGAACCACAGACCTACTCGCCGATCTGGCCTTCCTGTCCTTCCCAATCCAAGGATCCTGGAGCCCCTGGAGATCCTTGAGCTTCTTCACTGACTCCAGAGGAAAGGAGAAGTCTCCATCCTGAAAGCAACATGTCCAGAAGGTGACGACAGGCTCAGCTCCCTGGCAGTTTCCCTCCAGATGGGTCCCTCTCAGCCCCAGTGGTTCTCAAGCAGTGTTTCTGGAAACAAGACACTCCACTGAGAGGCAACACACAGTGGTCAGAGCTCAGGTCTCACAGCAAGACCCTGGGCCTGAACCCAATTTTGTTCTGTGACCTTGGAAAGGCCATAACACTCACAGAGCCCTGGGTCTGAATGTTCTATGGCATGAAGAAAATGCACATGAAGTGTCTGAGACAAAAGAGGTGCCCAACACAGGGAAGCCATTGTGCTGATGATTAGGGAGAGATGCAGGGCTGGTTCAGGGAGTTCTGGTTCCTCGTGACCACGCCCAGGCTGTGTTCATTCCTCCTTGCCTGAAACTAGTGCCAGCAGATCACCCGGGGTCCTCAGCTCCAGCCTGCAGCCTGGTAGTTGTTGAGAAGTAATAAAAGTCTCCAAGGGTCTGGTTCTGATAGAGAACCTGGCCCCTGTGGGTGCCAGACTGACCTGTCCCTGGCATTGGCCCGGTGGACACAACCATCCATCAGAACCTCCAGGTGTCCACCAGGCTTCCAGGTGGGTGCTCTGGTTGCACACAGGACAGAGGTGTAAGATCTAGATTGGAATCCAGCTTCTGCCCTTCCTAGCCATGTGGCCATGGGCAGTTACAGAACTTGGCTGAGGCTGAGTTTATCTGTTCTGTACAATGGGACTCATAATCCCTCGCAGGGGTCGAGAGGCCACAGTGAGATCCTGGGGAGGGGACTGACACATGGAGGCACTCAGAAAATGGGCCAATCCTTCATCTCTCCCAACGATTATTTCTCTTCTCTCTACCTGGTGTGCTTTCTCATCCAAGTTTGAAGGGGAAGGTGTGTGAGGCAGGACTGAGAAGGGGGTTCCTGAGGAAGAGGCAGGCCCCAGACACATCCCTCCATCCCGGCCCCAAAGAAATGGTCCTCTATCAGGGGCCAAGCCCTGTGCTCTGTCCACTGTGGCAGCAGGGGACGTACCTGCACGGTGACCCCATCTGCCAGGGCAGCCCAGGCCCCGAGCAGGCACAGCACAGACAGCAGAAAGGTGTTCATGGCAGCTGTGCCTAAGAGACAGGAGTGGCAGGTTCTGGATGCCAGGGGGAAACACTGGGACTTTTAAAGAGGGCAGGGTTACTCAGTAACCAAGAGCCTTTGTCACTATTTCATCTGTCTGCAGTCAACTCAGACCTCCCTCATCAGATAAGGATCAAGACAGCCCTGGGAGATAAGAGACCATTCCTGAAGCCTGGCCAAGCCCCACTCCTCCCTAGGCACCCACTTTGACCCACAGCTGGGCTGGGTACTGCATTCATCTACCAACCACACACACTCACTGACAACAGCTCTGTGCCAGGCCTGTGCATGGCTGGGGCCTACAGGCCCAGCTCTGCTCTTAAGGATGGAGCCCCAGATAGTGGCAATGCTGGGTTATGATGGTGGGCAAGACGGCATCACTAGGGCTAGGGGAACATGGAGTGGCCACCTCACCAGCTCAAGGGCAGAGGAGTTCAGCACATTTTCCCAGAGGAGGTGATGCCAGTGCTGAGTTCTGGAGAGTGGGTAGAAACTTGCCTGGAGAAGGGCGGGGGTGTGGAAGACCATTTCTTGCAGAAGGTGTTACACTTGGGACAGCCAGGAGTTGAGGCAGGTCTGGAATATCTAGTAAAGTGTGAGTAATTGGGTCTCTGTGAATGATGAGAGATGAGGCAGCAGACCAAGGCAGGTGCCAGGTTTGACTACTGTGGTTCTTACGTGCCTGGCTTCAAATCTCTTCCACTACCCAATTTTGATGTGTGAGAACTTGGGCTAAATTTTTTGCCTCTGTGATCCTCAGTGTTCTCTTCACTGAACATGCTTCCCTGCCTTTGAACATGCTGTTCCATCTGCCTGGAAGGCCTTTCCTTCCTGTCACTAAGTGAACTCCTACTCAACCTTTAAGGCCCAGCTCAAATAATCCCCACTGCATCCCCAGATAAATAACCTCTTTCAGTTTCCATAGAACCAGGTACATTGCCCTACCATGGCTCTGGTTGGGGTGGGATTACTTGGGTGTGTGTCTATTCCCTACTAGACTTTGATCCCCATTAAGACTGTGCTCCCAGCACAGTGTGTGTTCACTGTGTGCTCTGTTGTGAGCAGGGGTCTCCAGTACACAGAAGGAAGGATAGCCTTTGGACTCCCCATCTTTCTAATCTACAAACCCTGCCATCCAAACTTGTTGGCAGATGCCAGGACAGTTCCTGGGAGTGGAAGAGGGGCAGGAATTCCTGGGTGTAGAGAATCAGTATTGAAGAAGGAATCAGAGGGAGCAGAGCCCGATAAGGAGGGAGCTCCAAAGGGGTCTGGCACTCAGGAGCGACAGAAAACACTTGGTCCATCTACCCTCCCAGCCCTGTCCTTAGGGCTAGGCTGGACCTCCCTTCTCTTCCTGGGGTGTGTGTGTGTGTGTGTGTGTATGCACACGAGTACCTTGATGTCAACAAGGATAGTCCATCCAGCCACCGGTTGGCTCTAGCTGGCTGGATGCAGAGTGGAAGTGAGCCCCAAGGGAAGGTCAAGGACAGGAGTAGGGTTGTGAGGCGCTAGGGGTAGGAAAGAGATGCGTTAGGAATTTACGGATGGGGTTTGAGTTGAAGGTGAGGTAGAGGTAGAATTTATTGTGATTGGGATGGAGATGAACTTCCAGAAAAGATCAGGTTGCAGCTGAGGTTGGTGCTGGGACTGGATTTGGGGTTTGAGTGGGGTGGCCTGGGGTTAGGATAAAAACTGGGTTAAAATCATCCTAGGCTACAGGTTGGGATTGGGATTAAATTAAGGAAAAACTGAGGTAGGAGTTAGGGATGGCATTTGAAGTTAGGATTCAAGTTGAGGTTTAGGTTAGTTTCAGGGCTAGAATGGTGCTGAAGCTGGGATTGGGGTAAGGGCTAGGGTCAGGTTTTGAATTGGGGTACAGTTAGGATTGAGTTGATGTGGGGATTGTAGTTGATGTGGAGATCGTTTTGGGTTTAGGTTAGGGTTCATTGATGATTGGGACTAGAGTTGAGTTTGCAGTTGAAGTTGGAGGTGTGGTTGGGGTTTGGGTTTATGACTGGGGCTGAGGCTGGGATTAAGTGTGAGGCTGAAGCTGGGTTGGGATTTGTTTCAGTTTTAAGGATGGGGCCTGGGTGGTGCCACTGCGGGCTGAAGGAGCCTTTTTCTCTGGCTCAGTTTGATTTTTCATCCATTCTCTTCTACGGTCCAGTGGGGTGGGGTTAAAGGGAGAGGACTTTGGCTCCTGAAGCCTCTCTTCCTCCCACAGTGCCTAGGCTTACCTGCTGCAAGGTAGGGGTGTGTAGGCTGCGGGATGACGTTTTTACATGCTGTGGGAAAGAGGAAATGGCTCCTAGGCCTCAGCCCTTTGGGTCTGCCCCACCCAACCCCACCTCTGACGTCTACCCTGGGAAATAGAACCAACTCCCCTTCCCTTGGCCTCTACTCTCTCTGTCCAGCCTGAACCCAGGTCTGAGTTCAGGCCCCTTCCCTGCTCTCCAGGCCTCACAGGGCTTTAGGAACCTGTGCTGAAGATGCTGGAAGGTAGATCTTGGAGTTCCCCCAGAACCTGGCCCCCAGGTGCACACCCTGAGTCCTGAGGCCTTGGTCCCAGGTACCCCTAACCCCTCCTTATTCCTATATGGGTAGGTGGTTGATCTGAGGCTGTTTGAATTCCCCATACTCCAAGGGTCACATTTTATGGCAAACTCTTGCTCCTCCACAGCATTCCAGACCCTGCTACCTGTACTACCTGCCTCCCCATTTGCCCATAGCCTTCAGAAGAAAGCCCACGCTCCTTTGCCCTTTATTCAAGGCCCTTTATGATCAAGCCCCTGGTGAGCTCACCATTCAACCAAGATCCCAAAGGGCTCTCCAGGAGGAGATCGGGAAGCAGGAGGCCCAAGCCTGGAGTGCTGGTAGGCAAACAAGCTCAGGCTTTACAGCCAGGCAACCCTGGCTTAGAATCCCAGCTCCCTCATTCAACAGCTGTCTGTCCCAGGGCCAATCACTAAACCTTTCTAAGCCTGAGTTTCTGATCTGAAAAATGGAGACAATAACAGCTATATTGCAAATCTCAGGTTTTCTAGAAAATTTTACTAATCTCCCCCTGCCCCAGCAAGCCTGGGTTATGACCATCCCTTCCTCCTCTGTGCTCTGCCAGCCTCCTCTACTTTTCCCATCATATAACTTATCAAGCTCCGTCTCACCCACTGGCCTGTGACCTCCTGAGAGCAGGGACTGTGTCTTGCTCCATCATGGCCCCAGTATCCACACAAGGCCTGGCACTTAGTGGAATCAGGATGCTTGTTGTATTTGTAATCATCATAACATTAACAGAAGCAGCTAACATTACTCAGACCCACCCCCTAAAACCCAGCTGCCCCTTACCCACTGCCAGAAGCTGCCGACACTCCAGTCTGTGGCTGGGAAGGCCCTCTGGTCTCTGTGAGGCTCTGATGCTATTCCTTTTGGCCAATAAGTTGCTTAACTCTGGGGTTTTGGTGACCTTGTTACAGTTCTAGTGTGCATGTTAAAGTTGAGCCCACTAAGCTTAGTCCTCTCAGGCCTGACTCTGCTTCCCTGCAGGCCTGGAGGTCTCAGCTGACCTAAGCAGGGGTGATCTGGAACTGGGCCCAGAGGGGAGTCTGGAGACTCCAATAGGATCTGTGCGACCTTGGAGGGGGTGTGGTCCACATTTCACAGCTTCCCCATCCTGCTTGTAAAAGTGTCTTGAAGGGTGGTAAAAATCTCTGGTTCCTATGAGAACCCAGAACTGCCTGAGAAGGCATTGCAATGTATGTGAGCCTCCTAACAGCTCTGAGAATATATAGAAATATAACTATAACCCCATTTTCCAGATAGGTAAACTAAAGCTCAGAGGCTCAGAGAGGTTAAGAAACCATGACTTGACTAAGGTCACATACAGGACTGTATTGGTTGTGCACTGCACAAGGGCTCCCAGCCAGGAGACAGGGTAAGTGTAGACACAACTGTGGGACCACCTCAGCCTACAGGAAGGCATAGCTTTCAGTGTCATTACCAGGTGGACTTGCAATAGCTGTGGTCACATATTAAGTAAATTCCAGAACAAGGATATGAAGCCAGTTCTCTTGAACGCCAAAGAAAAGTCCAAGCTTCTTCCTCATTCACATCTGCTGTACTGTCTTCCTGACCCCATATTTAGAGAAGAAAGGAGTGGCTACTGAGTCAGACCTTTTGAGGTAGGTCAGTGGTACCCATTTTACAGAGGACAAAACTGAGGCTCGCAGAAGAGAGTGCCCAATGTCATGCAGCAAGCGGATGGTGGAGTTGGAATCTGAAGCCTGTAGCCTTGAGCCCAAGTTTAGGCTTGGGCAGAGGGCTCCCTCTACCCTCAGGCCCCCAGGAGAGGCCGGCTCTTTCCTTTGATGCTAGAGGGGCATCTGGGGAGTAGATGGAGGGAGTGTCTGCTTGTTTGCTCAGTAGAGTCATCTCACGCCCCTCTGGCCTGGCCAAGATGAGGAGATGGGGGAGCTCCATTCACCACCTGCTCCCCACCCGGGCAGCAGCTGCTTCCTCCTCCCCTACTCACAGCCTGTTGTACCCAAAGGATACACGTGGCCCACAGAGAGGAGACATGGTGTTGGCCCTCCAGAGCCCACAGGCTGGATGGAAGAGAGGACATGAGCACAGGCATGCAGGCTCCACAGGAAATACAGGGCCATCGGAGGGACAGACCTGGGGCAAGGTCAGGGGATGCTTGTAGAGGAGCTGGCATTTGAACTGAGCCTTGATTGGTGGGGATGATTTGGGCCCAAGGAGACAGGGAGAAAGGGCATTGTAAGTGTAAGGCAAAGGCAGCACAGCAGGAAGCATGGAGGGCGAGGGAGGAGGTGGATTGGGCTGAAGCAGGGTCTAAAGGGGTGTGGACAGCACCCCCAAGAAGGAGGCTTTGAATACCAGGCTAAGGAGTTTGGCCCTGAGCCTGGTCACAGCAGGGAGCCACGGCAGGTTTCAGAGCAGGGGGAGACCTCGGGGACCTG